GCGCTACCACCGGAAAATTTACCAAATTGGGATATTCCAATAATCTCACTATTCCCACATACCTCCCTGGCTCTACTGCTGCACCAGAGCTTTCCCCTTGCTCACTCATGTATATAAGTAGTAGAATGGAATGTACATATATAAAATGATACAATAGACCGCTTTTTTCATTGTATGAGAGCTTGTACAGCAGTCTACAGTGCTGACTACAATATGTGCATCCCAGGACTAAAACATATTCGGATTTTTGCCCCTTTAGCAGGGAAGCAATTATGACTGTATATATCATATATTGGAGTGTTAATGAATATATTACACCGCTTGTTTGAGCCTCTGTAGTGTCCTACATCAGTAGATATGTTAAATTCATGAATACCTCTCAAAAAACATAAACCAGTTCGCATTTTTTAGTGTTTAGGTATATAGACTGGTGAATATTATTTCTAAAATCTCTTTGCTAGTATATACAGTATATCAAGAGTATAGGCCAGTAGGATCAGTCCCTAGGGTCATATGTATTGTCATCTTCCTGGTGGTTCACTCCCTGAGAAATTTTTTCCTGCAGCTCCGGCCCTCTAGGATGGTAAGTAGTCTTTTACTATGAACATATGGAATATATTTATCACATAGGTATACCAGAACAATACCAGGATCCTTGTCTACAATCCAAAGTCACTTCCTGCCTACAGTGTACCATATTTTCGCATTTTTGAGGGTTTTCACTATATTCTCACTACATAGACTATACAAGCTGTTCATATATCACTTATAATACATATTTGAAGCCCTCCAAAGGCCATGATCAGGCAGAAATATGTCATAGTAATGATATCAAGCACATATCTCCTATTCTCACTGATAAGAATTCCCAGACATGAATATAGTAGAATATTATAATCAGACTATCTTTGAGTACACTATATATACCAAGTAATACAGTCCTCGACTACCAGAAGGATCCATGAATAATTGACAGCAGGGGAATCCAATAGATAAGAAATAGGTCGTGGGAAAGTCAAAAAGTCCAAACATCGAAAAAGTACTATGCACCAACAGTTGATGCAAGGGTGGTCTCACCATAATAATGCAACAAATTGAGACCACAACACTTCCACATCACCTTTACCTTCACAACATATATTAGTATAGTATATTTAAGTAGTTTACAATGTATTCTATACATTTTTAATGAAATCTTCGCCCTAGACAGGGTTGAAATATAACATTTGCATGATTGTGGGGTTTGCCCCTATATCATTGATATCATTACTATGATATATTTCTGCCTGATCATGGCCTTGGGAGGGCTTCAAATATGTACTATAAGTGATATATGAACAGCTTGTATAGTCTATGTAGTGAGAATGTAGTGAAAACCCTCAAAAATGCGAAAATATGGTACACTGTAGGCAGGAAGTGACTTTGGATTGTAGACAAGGATCCTGGTATTGTTCTGGTATACCTATGTGATAAATATATTCCATATGTTCATAGTAAAAGACTACTTACCATCCTAGAGGGCCGGAGCTGCAGGAAAAAATTTCTCAGGGAGTGAACCACCAGGAAGATGACAATACATATGACCCTAGGGACTGATCCTACTGGCCTATACTCTTGATATACTGTATATACTAGCAAAGAGATTTTAGAAATAATATTCACCAGTCTATATACCTAAACACTAAAAAATGCGAACTGGTTTATGTTTTTTGAGAGGTATTCATGAATTTAACATATCTACTGATGTAGGACACTACAGAGGCTCAAACAAGCGGTGTAATATATTCATTAACACTCCAATATATGATATATACAGTCATAATTGCTTCCCTGCTAAAGGGGCAAAAATCCGAATATGTTTTAGTCCTGGGATGCACATATTGTAGTCAGCACTGTAGACTGCTGTACAAGCTCTCATACAATGAAAAAAGCGGTCTATTGTATCATTTTATATATGTACATTCCATTCTACTACTTATATACATGAGTGAGCAAGGGGAAAGCTCTGGTGCAGCAGTAGAGCCAGGGAGGTATGTGGGAATAGTGAGATTATTGGAATATCCCAATTTGGTAAATTTTCCGGTGGTAGCGCTATTCTTGGAAGCCTGAGAATCACCAAAGGAATCAGAAGCCGTTAAGCTTAATTGTAGGGGATTGATAGTCTACAAACAAACTTACAAAACCATGCCATTTCTAGTCAGTGAGTATTATGCTTAATTTTAACAGTATAGCCTGTCGTCATGGCAATGAATATAAAATAGAGGAAGCACCTAGTATCCCTCGTTGATCCAACATGGTTTGACCCGCAATCCCGCACGGTGGACTGATCTGCACACTCCCCAATAGTATTTCATGTTCTTACCCATCTTATCATAATCAAACAAAAGTTTCACGCTAACTCCAATATATATGCAAAGATTGTTTGTGACTCGTGGAATAAGGGATCAGATAATTCTGAACAAGACACTAGGAAGACAGCTGGCTGTTGTGTGCCGAACATGATTCTTTGAAGTTCTTGCATACCTAATTGTACAATTGCGATGATATCCGCAAAACCAACAAAATTTGCCAGCTAAGGTCTATTAGCAATTTGATGTAAAGCTGCTGAACATCCACGTTTCCAACCAGCTGTCGGCTCGATACAAAAACACTCAACAACTCGGAGCCATCTCCGTGGCTGCCAGCTAAGGCCCCTATTGGGAACGTGGTGACTACAGTGTACGAAGCACTTTTCCAGCCTCTCGGATTAGCCCGAACTTGAAGATGTGTCTAGTCCTCGAAATTTGACTGCTTTGTACCATATAGTAGCGCAAATTCAATCTTTTGAGTTATACATTGAGGCTACCTCATTAGAATTTTGAAAATCGAGGGGTTGAAAAAATTTCCGACGAAATTTGAAACATGTTGCAAGAAATTTTGGTATTGATGGGTAACTGGGCAGATATGCAAGCAAGCAGATGGTAAACATGATCCACAAAAGCCCTCTGCTTGCAGTTTCAGCATACAATGCGGCCAAAATATCTGTTGGAAGCCCAACACGACGATGGGAACGGTACTTCTTAAGTGCAAAGCTGGCTGCTTGTCGGGCATCGAGTCCTTTACTGTTCAGACTTCAGCGCTGCATGATCACTCATAAACGTACCGGTAGGCATCCATACAACGCCCTCGTACTCTGAGTCTGACCCCTATTGTGGTTGAGGTGGTGGCAAAGAGCCGAATTTATGACAGTCAGCCCGTTGCTTCTTTGCTTGAGCCACATTCTTTGTCACAGGAGGCATATGCGGTAATATGAACCGGGTCCAGGGGAGATGAACAGGTTCTAGGGAGCATGGGGTAATTTTTTTCCGATGGCAGAATTTGAAACAAACTTAGTTTTCCTTGTTCCCTTATAGAATTTTTATTGGACATCAAAATTTGTACTATAGAGCTCCCTACGGAGACAGTACTCTAGTGCTTCGTACACTGTACGTAGTACGTACTGTGCAAGAATTCGTCGTGCTCACTCGCATACTTCATAGGACTGAAAGCAACAATTAACATTATACGATCTACTGCAAGGCCCGTTCACAGCGATTGAGCAGCTCGGAGTGATGAACTTCTCCGAGTCGGATTGTGCTCACACTCAATTTACTCATCGATGTATCACAACAGAGTCAAAATAAGTATATTTCTCTTGGACTGCGCATGTTTGAAACCTGCCGAAAACAGTTTTTTTTCTGTCAGAAACACACCTTGAAGATTCACTCATGGATAGTTCTTTGGAAGTTCATCTGAACTTCGACCTGGCCAAAATGATTACAACAACAGAATCAAAATCTGTTTCTCTTGGACTCTGCGGGTTCGAAACCTGCCGATGACAAGGCTTTTTTCTTGCAACACACTGTGGAGATTCACTCATGATCAACAGTTGCTCGGAAATGCATTTCAAGTGGTCTTAGCCCAGCGGTTGCCAACAGATTCAAAATCTGTTGCTCTTGCCCTGTGCACGTTTGAAACCTGACGACGACATTTTTTTTCTATCGGAAACATGGTCATAGATTCACACATGGACAGTTCTTTGGGGGCTAGCCAGGTGGGTATCATAACAGAATCAATATCTGTCTATCGGAATACGCCTTAAATATTCACTCATGGACAGTTCCTCGGTTGTTCATCTTAACTGGTCTTAACCGAGTGACAACCACAACGGAATTGAAATCTGTTTCTCTCGGGCTATGCAGATTCGAAACCTGCCAACAACAAGGTATTTTTTTTATATCGGAACGGCTCATCTCAAACGTTAACCGGTCTTCAGCCTAGGCCCTATAAGTGGTTACCACAACAGAATCAAGATATGTTTCTCTTCGACTGCATGTTTTAAACCTATTGATGACAGCTTTTTTATTATTAGAAATACGCCTTGAAGATACACTCATGGACAAGGTTCGAAACCTGCTGATTGCTGATGTGGATGATCACAGGTTTTTTGCCATCCGAAACACACCTTGAAGACTCATGAGCAGTTCCTCGGGGCCCTGTATTAACTGATGACCAAGTGATAACCACAACGGAATTGAAATCTGTTTGTACTGGACTGCGCAGGTTCGAAACCTGCAGATGATAAGTTTTATTGCTATCAGAAACACGCCTTGAAGATTCACTTATGGGCAGTTGCTCAGAGACTCGCCTTAACCGATCTCAGTCAATTGTACTAATCACAACAGAATCAAAATCTGTTTGTCATAGACTGCGCAGGTTTGAAACCTGCCGATGACAACTTTGTTTCTTCTATTGGAACACGCCTTGACATTAGCATTCCATGATGAATGGGTTGGACTCTTCGAGGCTCATCTCAGCTGGTCTTAGCCGAGCGGTTAGTACCACCACCCCAGCAGAATTAAAATCTGTTTCTCTTGGATTGTGCAGGCCCGAAACCTGCTGATGACAAGGTTTTTTCTATTGGAATACACCTTGACATTCACTGATGCAATCCTGCTTTCCTCAGCGGTTCATTGAATTGGGCTTAGCCAAGTGGTTACCACAACAGAGTCAAAATCTGTTTCTCTCGCTGGTTCGAAACCTGCTAGCAAAGTTTTTGCAGTGTATAGATTCTCGGAGGATCTTAACTAGTCTCAGTCAATGCTCCGAAACCTCTTTTCTATATGATATCAATGAAAGTCTGTTCATCATTTGAAAAGGAATTCACAAATTTGTAACAAGTCTATTCAGACTCATGTGTTCGTGACGGTTCAAACGTTCACCTGTGAAGTCACCTGACCAGCAAACGCTCGCAACAAGTCGCAAATTGGCAATGCACGTCTCGGCGAACAACCGCGCGCAGACCTTCGTGGCGGCTGAAGCCCCTCGGCCCTCTCCCCAACTGGCAATATGGATGATACCATGCAGGACACAATGTTTTGGATGGCTAATCAAATCACGCTCACACAGTAAATGTAAGGAACTCAAAGAAGGTACCGTTACAACTCAACCACTCTCTGGATCCAAGTACTACTGCTCTCTAGTTCCGTCGTCCTCAATAATCACTCTACTATCTGCCTAGTAGATTCTTGAATTTGTAGGGCATGACTGTCAGACATGTCGTCCAGAATCAATAATCTACATAGGCAGACGCTCATTAACACTGTGTTGCGTGCCTGGACAACCACAACTGCAACTACGTCCTCACATAATCAGATCACGATAATTTGCTCAACGCACCTTTCCTATATACGTGCTCTCTGGGATGTCTTGGAAGACATGGACGCAGTGTAACTGGGAAAATGAAAAAGATCATTGTAAAATGAGTTGAAAATCGAAGTTAGGAGCTATATACTAGGTGTGTTTGACAGCCATCGATTGTTATCTTGCGCACATACTCACGAATTTATATTTCACAGCATATAGTATAAGGCGATTTTGTACTTGATCATGTACTTGGCCTGCTGGGACAATCATATCATCTTGCCGAGGAATCAATAGTTGATTAAAGAGTCGATATGTGAAACAGCTTTTTCGTTCACATATCGCGTGCCTATCTAGAAGTCGAAACCATCAAAGGCGAATTTCGGAGTAGGCAGCTGTACGGGATACAGTGACAGCGTGAGACTGTAATGCGGACTGATTGGCACGCTCCTTGATAATATTCTTTTTGCTCTTGTACGCATGATCTAGCTTAACATTCCCTATGTTTCATGAAAATTTCACACCAACTCCAATATGCAACGAGCTGTAAGTGGGCCGATATTTTCCTGATGCACGTCGATCAACTCTATAAATCACTGATAACTCGCGCGTCAGTGTCAACGGCCATACTGCACCGATATGCAAGCAGAAAACACGACTTACTGAGCAGACAAAAAGGGTCTGTCGTGCATGTGAGTCACCGGGGACAATTATCTGCAGTAGTTGCGCTAGTCAAGTCAGCGGATATAGCAGATATTGATGATGTCAGAGCAGCAACGACGGCGAAGACAATTGCAGAGGAGAAATACATTGTTTGTCACTCGTGTGATATGGGATCAAGCAATTCTGCAAGAAATAGTATAGGAAGACGACTGGCTTTTATGTGCTCTTCAGAATCCCTCTTGCGTGGTTGTGCCTTCGAACAGATGCATATCTGCAATGCCAGCAGATTGGCAGCGAGGTAGGGGAAGCAGTATTTGTGAGCAATTGTGCTGGCATAACCGGCAGAAAGGGCACAACCACTTCGATCACTTGGCACAATGGTTGAAGCGCTATAGAGCGATGTGTACGACAATATATTACTGGGAAACACCATTAGAAGACATCAGTATATCGACATCCCACTGTCCGTCGTCGCTTGAGGTGTGATCAACTACCATAATCTCGTCAACAGATTTCCGTAGAAGATAACGTGCTCCAATTGATATGGATTCAGGACCTGCAATATCGTCATCGATGTTCCAAGCCTGAGGTGTGAGCGGTGGTGCCCATGTAAATTGGCCTCTAGGCCAGCAGCCACATGTCTGACGGGGCGCTGGTGGTGCATGGGGAGCGATGACGTCGACGATTTGGCCTGCCATTAGCCATGACATTGCGAAGTTTGATGACTATGGCAACAAAGATTGGCTCGAATCTTTGCCAGTGCTTTGCAGAGTGATGTGACTGAGTGCTACCCATATTCGAGAAGAGGCGTTCAACATTGGCAGCATGGGGATAAGAAGTGAAAGTGCCTTCAAAGGATGTTTTGTCAGCACTGACTGCGAGGCTTTCCCACCATGCCAAATCCAATCCATCAACCTGAAAATGAAAATGGTGCGCGGCACAGCCCGATGATCAGGAAATTGGCAGTGTCCTTTTTTGCTTTTTTTGCCTTATTCTACTTAGTAAACTGCATAAGGCAGTAAAGGAGATTTAAGGAAAATAAGAAATTTAAACAATTTGTAAAACAACACGCGTAAGGAGACATAAGGAGATGTCTTGGGAGACATGGACGCAGTCACCAGCGTAACTGGGAAAAAGAACAACATCGTTGTAAAATGAGTTGAAAATCGAAGTTGGGAGCTATATACTTAGTAGGCGTGTTTGACAGCCATCGATTGATATCTTGCGCACATACTCATGAATGTGCATTCCACAGCATATAGTATAAGGCGATTTTGTACTTGATCATGTACTTAGCCTGCCGGGACAATCATCTCATTTTGCCGAGGAATCAATAGTTGATTAAAGAGTCGAGACTCGATATGTTCATGATGTGATTACCTTGAGGTTCGTCCACATATCACGTGCCTAGTATCTAGAAGTTGAAACCATCAAAGGCGAATTTTGGAGTAGGGAGCTGTATGGGATACAGGACCTACAAGCCCGTCTACGTCACTGACAGCGTGAGACTGTAATGTGGACTGATTTGCACGCTCCTTGATAGTATTCTTTTTGTCCTTGCACACATTACCATTCCCTATATTTCATGAAAATTTTACGCCAACTCCAGTATGCAACGAGCTGTAAGTGGCCGATATTTTCCTGATGCACGTTGATCAACTCAATAAATCACTAATAACTCGCGTGTCAGTGTCAACGGCCATACTGCACCGATATGCAAGCAGAAACACGGCTTACTGTGCAGAAAAAAAAGGTCTGCCGTGCATATGAGTCATATTAACAAGTCCAGAAAAACTACTGATACTAACGCATTCCTCAAAAAAGCAGGCCCTGCATGCTGAGTCACCAAAGCAAAACCGGGGACATTTATCTGCGGTAGTTGCGCCAGCCAAGTCAGCGGGCATAGCAGATATCGATGATGTCAAAGCAGCAACGACGGCGAGGACAATTGCAGAGGAGAAATGCATTGTTTGTCACTCGTGTGTGATATGGGATCAGGTAATTCTGCAAGAAATAATATAAGAAAACGACTGGCTTTTATGTGCTCTTCGGAATCCCTCTTGCGTGGTTGTGCCTTCGAACAGATGCATATCTGCAACGCCAGCAGATTGCCAGCAAGGTAGTGCTACGGTTTTTGTGGGCAATTGTGCTGGCATAACCGGCAGAAAGTAGCGCAGCCACCACTTCTGCCACTTGGCAGAATTATTAAAGCTTTACAGAGCCCATGATGCGTACAACAATATATCACTGGGAAACACCGTTAGAAGACGTCAGTATGTGGATATCCCACTGTCCGCCATCGTGTGAGGTGTGATCAACTCGTCGTAAACAGATTTGTAGAAGACCTTGGTCAACGTGCTCCGATTGATATGGATTCAGGACCTGCAAGATCGTCGTCGATATTCCGAGTCTGAGGTGTGAGCGGTGGCGCCCATGCAAAATTGGCTTCTAGGTCGACACCTACAATGTTGATACCTGGCTAGGCGCTGGTGGCGCATGACGTCAATGAATTGGCCTGCCGTTAGCCACGGCCTTCCCAAACATGTCTACAGTGCTTCGGAGAGTGACCGAATGCTACCCATATGCGAAAAAAGAGGCGTTCAAGCATTGGCAGCGTGGGAACAATAGAGAAGAGGATTGCAAGTGCGTGCCTTCAAATTAGGATCCAGCAATTATTCATCTGTCACTAGATCGCGTGCACCCTCTAACTAGAGGCACACACGGTCCGGACTCCGCAGGGACCTTCTAATCATAGGGCCTACATGAAGAATCACAGGTGCGTGGGACTGAGTGCGAGACTGGATACAACACTACTTTTATTATATATCGCCGTCCTATTTTTGTTGTTCTTGTTGAGATGAAGCTCGAAGGGGCGTTGGTCAAGCATCAGATCTTCAGATCTCACTTCACTTCGTCTTGCGTTTCAACTTTCCTCGCATGTATCAATATCCTTTCACTAGTTCAGTCTGGTTGTGATCGCCATTTATTGCAATCATCATGATGCTAGATGAGTCTATGACATGAATGGTCTGGTTCCGATTTCTGATGGCCAAAATCATCAAATATTGAGGCCTGAGGCTCGCCGCGCGAATAAGATCATGGCTTTATGCAGCGGGACACTCCAGGCGCTGAAAACTGTCCACTAAGTATTGGACCCACTCCTTGAAGAGTACTCTGGCCAGTTAACGAGCTAAAGCAATGTGATGCTCAGATACGCAGTTTCAGAGTGACAAAAAACACCAGGAACCTCCGTCCTATCTGAATCAGATATCAGAGTCTGGAGCCCATTACGTGCGTTGCTTTGAACTATATCGAAGTTCATCTGGACTCTGGAGCCCGCGTGGGTTTTACACGTATGTGAGGGATAACCACATGTCTCGTCTCGTATTCTGATTCGGTGTGGAAATTCCTTATCTAAGGCGTCTGATGATAGTAAGTGAAAGTTCGAGGTCATTTGTTGTGTGCTTACTAGTCTCCCTCCAAGGAAGATAACCGTTAGACTCACGGCGCGGACCGCTGGGGTCGGTGAAACTCTAATTGAATGAAGATAACTGTTCCTTATAAAGAGTGAAACATGAATACTTGTCCCTTATTTCGACTATTTTTACTCTTCATTAAATTGGCTCGAGACCCGCCAACTGTGGATAATTCTGAACCAGTCTTATTTCGACTGTCGAGGTGTGCAGCCAGTAAAATAGATGCTGAGCGCAAGCCTTATCAAAATGACCTTGTATCAGTCGCCAG